GATGGGCGTGCGGTGCTGTCGGTGGGCTGGTCCCATCCCCTGGGGCGGGCAGCCCCATATATCAGCCGGGCTCACAGGGGCAGTGCTGGCAGAGTGTGACCGTGACGTCCCCCGGCCTCTCGCCCACCCTCTGCAGCCATGGATGACATTTATAAGGCAGCGGTAAGTGTCTCCCTTTGGGGCTGTGGTTTTGGGAGGGGTTTAAAGGCTTTTTGAGTATTTTTGTAGTCGATTCCCCAAAGCTGTGACCGAGTTAATTCAATGGAGAGATTCAAATAAGAAATAATTACAGGGTGGCAACTTTTAGTGAACATCATCATCCAGGACACCGACCTTTCCCACGGATGGCTCTGAAGGTTTCACACTCCTCTTGTAAGCGTGAAACTCTCAACTGTGCTGCTGAATTATTTACCATTACTCCCCTGGTTCCCTGCTCTAAGGCAGGGAGATGGCCTGTAGATGAAGTTATAAATCTGAACAAAATCCTGAAAGTATAAGAGGTGGCTGCTGGTTTTAGTGCAGACAAAGCAGAGCAGTGTTTCCCAAGAAATTAACATTATGGTTAAACCTCACCCTCTTCTTTCTGGTGCTTTATGATTCTGACATTGCTATGTTCCCCCTTCCTTAGCTAATATTTTTCTGGGAGATTTAAAAAACCCCTCAGCTTTTGTAAATTATTTCCAAACATCCTTCTCTGCTTTGCCACTCCTGATATCTGCTCTGCAGAAATCCAGAATGTGAGCTATGCTCTGGGTGAACGCAGAGCATCCTAGCGGCTATTTTGACTTACACAGCTGCATGCTGCGCTCACTGTGTAAACCCCAACTGTTTGGTCTGGAATAAGAATACTGCATTATTTTGTAACATAGACAGACAGTGATACACAAGTGGAATAAGGATGAAAATAGTTTCTGGATTGTGTGGATTGCTACTGTGTACCTTCCATACTAGAGTTAAAATAAGAGCTTTTTGGTGATTTTTTTTTTTTTTAATATATAGTTGATCAGGTTTGATTTTAACCAAGAGCACAAAAAAATACATCATACAAGTCCTATTTTAATTACAAGGTTTTTAGAGGTAAGAAAGATAGTGCTTGATACATAACTGAAGAAAAAAAAATGCTCACACCTCTCCTGTCCTTTGGTCAGCCCTGAACCTCGTGAAATGGAACCCCCCTAGCAATCCCGACAGTGTGAAAAGGCTCAGGAAAGGCTGTACAATAAAATACTGAGTCCCCCCGCCAACACCTCAAAAAGGGAGAAAAATGTGACCTGTAGGACCACGGAGGAATTTGGCTGAGAAAAAGTAACTGCAGCAATTGAGAACAACCCAAAAATCCCTACCTTGGATACCAAAAACTTACCCCAGAAACAGAGACCTTGACCAGGGAAATGGGCCATGCAAGTGACCTGATAGACACCCAGAAGGATTTTGCTGCTGGTTTGAAGGTTGGGGCACACGGGTAAATGTGAGGCTTGAGTCCTGGGCATTAACTGCCAGTGCCTTTACAGAGCCAAAACAAGTCCAAGGCAGGCACAGCTGAGACAAATTTTTCATGGGTCTGTTCTCCAAGATTTCAACTGTAAGAAAACATTTACCTGGAATAAAAAAAGAACTTCAGCTTCCCCTGTCTGACTTCAAATGGAAACATGGGATGAAGAGGAGAGCTGATAAAAGAAAAATACAGTGGATTTGTCATTACCACAGCTGCTGCAATGCTGTGAGCTTGGTGGCTTGCCTTCCCACACTGCAGACAGAGAAACCTGTCCCTGCAATGATGTGGAGAGAAAAGAGGAATAAAGCTGCAAACAGCAACTGCATCCAGAGAGCAGCCTAACAGCTCACGAGCCATCTCTGTAATGAAAATGTCACTCTATAGTCACAATGCATTTAATTTGCACACAGCATAGCTCCACGTCTATCATTTCAGTAGTCAAGGAAGCTTCACAAATGAGACTTTTTTTATTTTCTGCATGCTGATGGCATATGTTAGTGCTACAATTACAACAAATTCCCTACGTGCAGCCAGAGAACCCAATGGATTTTCATCTTACCCACTCATGCCTCGATAAGGGTGTGCAAACACAAAGCTATTTTGGGAACATTTTTAGGCTAAGAACAGTGCCAGGGACAAGTGTCCAGATAAAGGGCTGCAAGGGTAAATACCAAAGCCTGGGAACAATTGGGGAGCTCATCTTTATCTCCAGCACCTCTCTCACCAGGGCTTATAAATAGTGAATGCACCAGGAGGGTCAGGTTACCCCAGCGAGCGGCAGGATGGTGCCCATAGACGTCAGCTGAGGGAGCCCTGTGCTCTGCCCAGACAATAGCCCTTTCCCTGCCTCTCGCTGCAAGCACGAAGGATTTCCAGCTGGTGTTTGCAAAACCACTCTTTAGGGCAAAAACATCAGCTTTCCCTCAAAGATGGGGTGCCACAACCCTGGGTTGGGGGGTTCTGCCCTGACAAAAACATGATGGGGATGGGTGTTGGGGACTGCTGACATGGGGATGGTCGTAAGGAGATGTGAGCGGGGTCAGGCACCCCCTGCAGCGGCCAGAGGTAGTCCTGGCAGGGGGTCGTGTCTGGCTGACTCCAGAGAAACTGCTGAGCAGCACAAGAAAGAGAAATCCCTGTTTTCATGGATGCTGCTGAAGGGGCAGTTGAGGTGGGGTCAGCAATCTCAGATAAGCAGTGCCTGCTGGCAGGAATGAAGCCAGAGAGAGAAACACACTTAAAGAGGCACGACACAGAGCTGATGGATTCCTCTTAGCTCTTCTCATTGGTTATTTTCATTAATTCATGCTAACTAATAAGCTCCTGCTGATCATCTGCAGGGAATGAATTAGGGTAGGGTTTGGGAACAACCTGTCAGCCTGTTCTGGCTAATGCCTAATGGCTCCACGGGCCATTTCTTCGGGGACATACCCAAACCAGGCTAAAGGGAATAGCACCTCCCTTCAGAGGCAGGAACCTTTCTAATGAACACTGATTCACATGGAAGTAGACAAGCTCAACTTAATGCTCTGGAGTGTTTCCTGAGTCTAGGGCTGAAAACCAACTACCAGGGATGGTCTCGTCTGCCTCTCCCTCCCCAGGGACCTCTCCAGCACACCCCACCTCTGACCTGGCCTCAGCCCATGCACAAGCAGCCCTCAGCACCACAGCCATCCCACTGTGAATCCTGCCACCAACAAGAAATTGTCCCAAAATGGTTGACAAGGACAGAAGCTTTTCCCACTAGGTCTCCCCTACTAGTGCAAAGGCTACTTCTGTCCCATATCAGATGCTGCTGCTCTGGAGAAATGATGCTCACTTCAAAGGAGCTGGGAATCACTTTTTTTAAGGGGAAGAATCTCTCAGACTACAAAAAGTTGTGGTGTCAAACTCTCACTGGTCGTACATCCCATGGCTTGATTGAACTTTGGAAAGGTTGTTGAACAAATAACATTACATTTTAACCATTAGGGATGCTGAGGAAGAAAAATGACTTGGTCTCTGTGTTTTCCTTACAGGTCGAGCAGCTGACAGAAGAGCAAAAAAATGGTACGTGTATCTTTAACCTGACACCACAGCCCAACGACACACTCCCCAGCCGGCAGCCCAGCCTGCCTCAGCAATGACACCCCAGAAAATGCATGGCCAAAGCAGGGCATAACCCAGGGATTTTGATCCCCCAGCATTCAAGTGAGGCAGTTTCTGTGCGTGTGCCTGGGTGTCCTCACCATGCCATGCCCAGGCAGTGCTGGGCTGCACGGGCAGGGAGGCTGTGCCAGGGGCAAGCCTTCTGCCCCAGGTCTGCCTGCAGAGTTGAAGTGTGGTACAAGACGCCCCCCACATCTCCTCTCCCCTCTTTCCCCAGAGTTCAAGGCTGCCTTTGACATCTTCGTGCTGGGGGCGGAGGATGGCTGCATCAGCACCAAGGAGCTGGGGAAGGTGATGCGGATGCTGGGGCAGAACCCCACACCCGAGGAGCTGCAGGAGATGATAGACGAGGTGGATGAGGACGGTGAGAGATTTGGGTTTCATTTACTGTCCCAAACCCCATCCCTATGCTGCAGGCATTGGGAACACAGCGCAGGTTGGGAGCACTCAGCGCCTGCACAGGGGTGGCAGGATCTGTGCTGGGGACTGCTGCAGCCTGCGGGGAGCAACCTGCAGTGCTGTGATTTTGAAGGACCCTAAACACCCACCCAACTTCGTGGTTTCCTTTAGGAAATTTCCAGGCAAAAGGAAACTATAAAAATTATTATTCCTGTAATGACCAGAATGCCTGAGCTGATTTTGGGGGATTACAGGAACTCTGAAATTGCACAGATCCATTTAAAAAACAGAAAATACATGCTGAATGTAGTAACTGCCATTTCTAAAATGCCACAACTACAAGTTTCTATCAGCAGACCTTTCACTACTCAAGTGTACACACACACGTATTAATAAGTCGATCTCAGTTAAATCAGTGTGCAAAATCCACTGTGTGCAGGTGAGCAGAAATACCCTACTAAGTAATCAGAAAATAAAAAAGCAGTTAAAAATTAGGCAAAAACCAGAAATAGCTGTGTTACTGAAAACAACAGTACCACACTGCTGGTGCAAACATACACAGCATGAATACCTGTCTTCTGGAGCTTTTATTGTTAATACCTGTATGAGATGGACAGGTATCTCCATAGCAGGTATTTCCATTCATCAGTGCTTCCAATAGGACTTTCAGTTCATTTTGCCATGGCAAAATGACTGCAAAAGGCAAAAATTCAGTGATGCAGTCAGTCCCGGCCTCAGTCACTTTAGCATCCTGAAAGCTGCCTCTTGCTGCAGGGCTGCTCTCCTGAGCTTTGGTTCTTGGTTACTAAAGGCAAGTGTGGTCTCTCACTTGGCGTTGCCCATCCACCCACCGCAGCGTCAGCTCATGGTGTTTATTCTGCCTGCAGGCAGCGGCACTGTAGACTTTGATGAGTTCCTTGTTATGATGGTTCGGTGTATGAAAGATGACAGCAAAGGAAAAACCGAAGAGGAACTCTCAGATCTCTTCAGGATGTTTGATAAGTAAGAGCTGCAATGGCAGCGGGGCAGGGTGGTGGGAACGGTGCAGCCGCCCTGACTCCCCCTCCCCAGCATGTCGGTCCACTCCTGAGCTCTTCTGTCCTCGCACAGAAACGCCGATGGCTACATCGACCTTGAGGAGCTGAAGATCATGCTGCAGGCAACGGGAGAGACCATCACTGAGGATGACATAGAAGAACTGATGAGAGACGGGGATAAAAACAACGATGGCAGGATTGACTATGACGGTAGGACTCCTTCTTGCATGCCATTTGGTCATGAGCCCTTGAGTGTCCCCTAAGCAGTTCCTGTGGTCTTGGTTGCCTTCTTGGACAGGCATGAGCTCATGCAGGCAGTGCTGGACAATACACCTGACCACAGCCAGCTTGCACAGGGATGGGGGGTTTCGTACACTTGTGAAATAGTAGCAAGGGCCTGGGGCTGCCTTAACTGTCCACATGCTGTGAAAGCCAGCCTGCAGTAAAGCACTGCTGCTTATCACCAGAGACCTGCCTGTCCCCTCCTGCCCCCTGAACGCAAGTACCATCTCCGAAAGGCCATATCTTTTAATGCGATGCTGCAGAAATGAACCCCAGACCATTTCCAAGCTGAGCTGGTGGATGTGGCCCTCCCTGGGTGCTCACCTCTGGCATTTTGGTGGCAGCCGAGGGTGACGCTGGGCTCCAGTGACATTTCCAGTAGAAGTCACAAGGAGTCCTCGCCACAGCCAGAGGAGTGGTAGCCAACCCCCTCGGCCTCTCGCACATTGGTGGGATGGAAGAGGAGACAGGGCTAGGGAAAGCTGCCAAGAGTGCGCTTGGCAGCTGCGAGGGCACTTGGGTCCCACCTCACACCCCTTGTCTCCGATGTCTTCCCCTTGGCAGAGTTCCTGGAGTTCATGAAGGGAGTTGAATAAACGAGGCCAGGTCGACAGCTCAAATCTCCTAAACCCCTCCAGTTCTGCATCTCATCTCCTTGGCTAAATCCCTTGGCTTACCGGCATGACGACTGAGTGCTGAGAAGGGTGGCCGCTGGGAAAATAAAAAGCCTTAATACCCAGTGCCTCAGGTGGTTATTCCTCGGAAGTTTAGCGAGAACTTCACCCCAGTCTCATACTCACAACTAATGGGGTCACGCAGAGCGCTCACGAGCCGCACTTGGGAAGGTGATGCCACAGCTGGAGCTTTAAGCCTCCAAGGAGGTATTTTGCTGCCAGCCTGGTGGCAACCCCTGGCCAACTGGGCCATGGGTGCTCAGTGGGGAGCTGCCATGTCACATCTCCTCACCTGTGCCGTGGTGAGCGGGCTCAGGAGCCAGCACTGGCTCCTGCTGGTTTAACTGGAGCATCGTCAGCATTTTAGGAACAAAACGTGAATTAACAACCACTGGTGCCATCACTGAACTCCCCGGGTGAGGGACAATCCCTCTCCTCTCGGCTCTCGCCCCGCCTGTCCTGAAGGGACACCCCTTGCTCCTTCCCATCATCCTGACCACCACCTGCAGCACATGTGGAAAGACGACTTCAATTTTCTTTGGAAATGTGAATAAAAGCCATTCCTATGCTGGACTGGGTGCCTCCTTCCCATCTCGCCCAGCCCCACAGGAGGCAGGTGGCAGCAGCCCTGCTGCACCTCGTGGTCCTCCAGCAGCCCTGGGTGGGAGCCTCATCACAGTAACTGGAAGACCTGATTTTCCCTCAGAAATCGTGTCTGTTTGGGCCACAGGGACCCTGAGCAAGGCACAGTCCTGCTTTGGGTCTCAGCCCCCAGGTGTGGGGTGACAGCAGGGCCGAGGAGGACAA